AGATAAGTACCTACAACAACTACCAAGTACCTACAACAGATACCAAGTACCTACAACAACTACCAAGTACCTACAACAGATACCAAGTACATAAAACAGACACCAAGCAACAGATACCAAGTACCTACAACAGATAACAAGTACCTACAACAGATAACAAGTATCTACAACAAATACCAAGTACCTACAACAGATACCAAGCAACAGATACCAAGTACCTACAACAGATAACAAGTACCTACAACAGATACCAAGTATGTTAGAATATAGCTACAATTACATGATACTACCTACAACAGATACCAAGTACTACAATTACAGATAGTACCTACAACAACTACCAAGTACCTACAACAGATACCAAGTACCTACAATAGATACCAAGATAGGTTATAAAGTACATACAACAACTAGGGGACCAAGACAGCTACAATTACATGATACAACAAGAGGGAGAACAACTACCAAGTAGAATATAACAATTATACCAAGTACCTACAACAACTACCAAGTACCTACAACAGATACCAACTGATCCAATGAATTTTTTTATATTAGACTTTGTATCTATACGTGGTTTAAATGACTTAATTGCTGATAGATCAGCTTTCACATTCTCAATAAATGATTGAAGATCTAGCAGTGTTCTATTCGAGTCCACTGTGTCCCCCATCTTCTCCAGTGTCATTATCCCCAGCAGGCCTGCCGTGGCGTATAGGACCATTCGATACGCTCAAAAGCCCCAGGTTCGACAGCTACACGAGCATTCTCATTCAGTTTGGACGGTCCCATTTGTGGAGCCTCCAAACTTAGTTCAGAATCAGATAAAGCGTCTAAAAGTGCGCCCCTCGCTGATAGTGAACCTGGGACTGCCCTTGGATAAGCATGCCGTGTCAATATCAGAACTGTTTTCCATGTTCAGCTGATGTCTGTCTATCGATTGTGACCGATAATGTTCTGTGTGATTTATTGGGGAGAACCGTCTACTTCAAACCTCAGATAATTTAACAAAGTCTGTTATGTGTGTCTGAGCATAGCCTTGCATTTAATCCTGAGCTAACCCTTTCAGGTTCTAAACTATGGTCATACTAAAGCATCAAATAGTTAAATTCAGTTTATCCTACAAATGCTGTTGCCAATTTCGGGATACACCTGTCACAGGTACTTGCTTCATTCGACAATGATGGAAAACAGCTGTATTTTAGCACGTGTTGAAATAAGCTATTTGAAATTGTGTAATGAAGATGTTTATATACGATTATACATAAAATTGTTGTCAAATCCGTTGAAGTGTGAAACTATATTACAGCGCGTAGCAATTATCTTAGCTCAGGTCATGTGGCAAAATTCAGCATAACATCAACGTCAGTTAAACTTAGATGATATACAAACCTGTTGATGATTTGATTGTCTGATTCTCAGTCAAAGTTTCAGGATAAATATAATACATGGTCAGTTTTTTTTTTTTTTTTTTTTCAATTTTAAGATTCATTTTTGACTAGGGACATGTACTCTCTCTTTTTTGATCTGATGTATCTAACTCAGATAATGTGAAATGAAGTCAAAAGGGAAATATTTTATGTAAATGTTCACAGACCACAAAAACGCTTTTTCAATAGTTAATCCCCGTCTAAATTATATTTACTGCGAAATCTTAGCCATGAATTTGTCAATAGATTGGTAACATATTCTCCATTTGAGAACGATCACACATGCTTTAAGAAGTTAAAAGAACTGTTACCATAGAATCAATGTTAACAAAGTTATATTAAACACCAAACAATTAATGGGACACAACCTCGAACACAACATTTTACAAGCTGGGTTTAATGTAGGTCTCATATGTACCTATAACTGATCTCATACTAACCATCACAACGAAGTACCAACAACAGATATCAAGTACCTACAACAGATACCAAGTACCTACAACAGATACCGAGTATCTACAACAGATACCAAGTACCTACAACAGATACCAAGTACCTACAACAACTACCAAGTACCTACAACTGATACCAAGTACCTACAACAGATACCAAGTACCTACAACAGATACCAAGTACCTACAACAGATACCGAGTATCTACAACAGATACCAAGTACCTACAACAGATACCAAGTACCTACAACAACTACCAAGTACCTACAACTGATACCAAGTACCTACAACAGATACCAAGTACCTACAACAACTACCAAGTACCTACAACAGATACCAAGTACCTACAACAACTACCAAGTACCTACAACAAATACCAAGTACCTACAACAACTACCAAGTACCTACAACAGATACCAAGTACCTACAACAGATACCAAGTACCTACAACAGATACCAAGTATCTACAACAGATACCAAGTACCTACAACAACTACCTACAACAACTACCAAGTACCTACAACAGATACCAAGTACCTACAACAACTACCAAGTAGTTGCAACAGATAAACAGATACCAAGTACCTACAACAGATACCAAGTACTTTAAACAGATACCAAGTACCTACAACAACTACCAAGTACCTACAACAGATACCAAGTACCTACAACAGATACCAAGTACCTACAACAACTACCAAGTACCTACAACAGATACCAAGTACCTACAACAACTAACAAGTACCTACAACAGATACCAAGTACCTACAACAGATACCAAGTACCTAAACAGATACCAAGTACCTACAACAACTACCAAGTACCTACAACAACTACCAAGTACCTACAACAGATACCAAGTATCTACAACAACTACCAAGTACCTACAACAACTACCAAGTACCTACAACAACTACCAAGAAGTACCTACAACAGATACCAAGTACCTACAACAGATACCAAGTATCTACAACAACTACCAAGTACCTACAACAAATACCAAGTACCTACAACAAATACCAAGTACCTACAACAGATACCAAGCAACAGATACCAAGTACCTACAACAGATACCAAGCAACAGATACCAAGTACCTACAACAGATAACAAGTACCTACAACAGATACCAAGTATCTACAACAGATACCAAGTACCTACAACAGATACCAAGTACCTACAACAGATACCAAGTACTTTAAACAGATACCAAGTACCTACAACAACTACCAAGTACCTACAACAGATACCAAGTACCTACAACAGATACCAAGTACCTACAACAACTACCAAGTACCTACAACAGATACCAAGTACCTACAACAGATACCAAGTACCTAAACAGATACCAAGTACCTACAACAACTACCAAGTACCTACAACAGATACCAAGTATCTACAACAACTACCAAGTACCTACAACAACTACCAAGTACCTACAACAGATACCAAGTACCTACAACAGATACCAAGTATCTACAACAACTACCAAGTACCTACAACAAATACCAAGTACCTACAACAACTACCAAGTACCTACAACAGATACCAAGTACCTACAACAGATACCAAGTACCTACAACAGATACCAAGTATCTACAACAACTACCAAGTACCTACAACAACTACCAAGTACCTACAACAGATACCAAGTACCTACAACAGATACCAAGCAACAGATACCAAGTACCTACAACAGATAACAAGTACCTACAACAGATACCAAGTATCTACAACAGATACCAAGTACCTACAACAGATACCAAGTACTTTAAACAGATACCAAGTACCTACAACAGATACCAAGTACCTAAACAGATCCCAAGTACCTAAACAGATAAGTACCTACAACAACTACCAAGTACCTAAAACAGATACCAAGTATCTACAACAACTACCAAGTACCTACAACAACTACCAAGTACCTACAACAACTACCAAGTACCTACAACAGATACCAAGTACCTACAACAAATACCAAGTATCTACAACAGATACCAAGTACCTACAACAACTGCCAAGTACCTACAACAGATACCAAGTACCTACAACAACTACCAAGTACCTACAACAGATACCAAGTACCTACAGCACTTTTACGGCATAATTTCAATTTAAATATCAATGTAGTAATTAATAGTTATTTACTTTATGGTGTTATATATTATCCAGAATGAAATTAAATATTGACATGTTGAATGATTTGTGATATGTATAAAGCGTTTCTTTCCTTCCTTAACTGAAGTTGAGATTGCACGCCGGCGGATTCTTTACGTCAAAATGTCGGCCATTTCAATATGAAAGTAACTAAATATTAAAATTAATACGTTACATTTAACAACCTATTTCATGCTTCATGGAATCTGTGATCTTGAGTTCGGGTTCCTGTCTGTCATTGAAGCAATCGATCTTTTGAGATGGTTGTTGATACTTCTAGATGTTGTGGTCAGGGCAAGTTCGAGTTTGTTTATTGCTTTCCAGAAACAAAAGGCAAAAGAACTAAATCTGACAATTATTCTTACTTAACTTAATTCTGTTACAATTTTACAAGGTTTACATGGCGGGTGCCGTCGATGAATCAGAGGACGCTTACTCTACCATAACACCTGGTCCTATTCTTCTGGTACTTTGTCAGGAGTCTCTGTGTAAATCTTTCTTGGTTCATATTTTTATGGAATTTCACTTTGGATTATGATTCTACTGACATGTTGGTACTTTCTTATTGCAGAATCCTGCAGAATCCTGTAATGGACAAAGACTAGCACGACATATAATTGCTCTTAGTGAATTATCACTGAAATCATTTACAAAATGTAAATATCAATTAATGTGGTTTATTTGTTTGTTTGTTTGGTTAGCTTGTTTGTTTGTTTGTTTGTTTGGTTTTTTTTTAACTGCTGCCTTGATTTGGTTTTGGTTGTTGTCTGATTTCAATGATCATCTCCGTATCGTTCATAATAACATAAGAACATTGCAAACTCATTGTCTGTCTGTCTGTCTGTCTGTCTGTCTGTCTGTCTGTCTGTCATCATTCTTTTATCAATTCAGGATATCAAACCTCCTACACGTCTCCCAAAAACGCACTCTGCTGATAATACTCTATGCTGTATCTCAACGTACCTTGGCTTGCTCGTCTGTTCCCTTAAATCCGGCAACCTTAAGAACATCGCAGACCTCGCCAAACGTCAACGTCCCACTCTTATCCTTGTCAGCAGCATCGAAATCGTCTACCACCCGAGAAAGATGACGCTGCGTCCAAACACTCAAATCCGCCATTTTTGCTGGGGATTTTTTTACACTGAACTTACATTGTATAGGTGAAATTTGAATGTTCGCCAACATCCGGGGACTGTAGAGTAATAACAGCTGAGAGAGAGAAAAAAAACTGAAAACCACATGTATACTTGGAGTCTGCGGAAAAGCTTTGTGCCATATATTAAGAATTACATTCCCGGCGCTTCTAGTTATAATTTCATGCCGCACGCAATCGTGTGCCCGTGATTTTCGTTTACTACTCGTGCTGGCAGATGCTGAAGTATTGAGAGGAAATTCCGGCACGGGCTGCTATCTTTATACATGTTAGTGTATTCACCGTCTATATTTAAACCGACATGCCGACGCTGTCTGACATCTGGATCTCGTCCCGTCTTACTTTCAAAACTTCCGCCCAACACCAACTTAGAGATCAACAACTTTCTCCGAGCGTTATTAATCGTTAAGATATTGGTCTAGTGATATGCACAGTGAATTTTATATGGATACATAGATTTGAGATATGTGATTGGATATCTAATATAGTTTACCTATTGTCTGATACAGCAGTGTTATGTTATGGAGGTTCCCCAGCGCGGGGTCAAAGGACATGGCTTACACAGCTTATACTCAATCATCGGCATTTGACTCTCTCTCTCTCTCTCTCTCTCTCTCTCTCTCTCTCTCTCTCTCTCTCTCTCTCTCTCTCTCTCTCTCTCTCTCTCTCTCTCTCTCTCTCTCTCTCTCTCTCTCTCTCTCTCTCTCTCTCTCTCTCTCTCTCTCTCTCTCTCTCTCTCTCTCTCTCTCTCTCTCTCTCTCTCTCTCTCTCTCTCTCTCTCTCTCTCTCTCTCTCTCTCTCTCTCTCTCTCTCTCTCTCTCTCTCTCTCTCTCTCTCTCTCTCTCTGTCTCTCTCTCTCTCTCTCTCTCTCTCTCTCTCTCTCTCTCTCTCTCTCTCTCTCTCTCTCTCTCTCTCTCTCTCTCTCTCTCTCTCTCTCTCTCTCTCTCTCTCTCTCTCTCTCTCTCTCTCTCTCTCTCTCTCTCTCTCTCTCTCTCTCTCTCTCTTTAATTCTTAACTCTTACAGTACCTTAATTCTACATTGGTATTGAATTACTTAATGCCTATCAGAGAACCTTAGTTGAGGTGTCTGTTTGCACCGTAACGTGTAATGTATTGACTACCGAACTGTTTATGTACAATGCTACTTTGTTTTAATTATTTTTGAGGCCAATCTTCGGTGTACATATATCATGTTACATGACATGATTAAATTACTGTTGATCTGTCACCAGTCCGAATACTTCCTCCATACTATAATGTGTTCAACAAATGTCTAAATGTTTGACGAATTGCTTTCTTGATTGGTTCCTTCTTTAACCTACGCATCTTCCACGACACAAATGTGCACCATGAAATGAAAATATATGTTGACATTTCAGTGTATATAGTGAGTTTCCCAAGTTGAAGTCAACTAAACGGAAGCCGTAACTGAAGCACTATCATGGGGAATTTGTGTGTGTTTGTATAGTAAATTAAACCCGAATTTTAAAAACAAGTTATTACTGCGAAATGACGTTATATTCCCTGAAGGATCGAACGTAGTTGACATTCCTCAGAAGAGACGTAAAGTACGCTACATGTAACGTCAATGATATAACGCTAGTCCGAACATAGAATTGATAACGGGGGTGGCGAGGCGGGAGGTGTAAGTATGAGAGTGGCAGTTCAAACAAAGTAATTCCTTTACGCGGTACTTACATGGCACAAGTAACTCTTAATGTCAGATTAAATAAAGTAGCGCACCAGTTGGCTATCTCTGATAGTCCAAACTTCAGATAACTAAGGAGGTAGTGGAGGCTCAAGTACAGTGACACAAGTAATACAATTTTGATGTTTAATAGATACGCTAACGTGCAAATGAACGTTATCACTATTAATAATCAATACCTTGGCTATTTCACGGGGACGTTAACGTAAGGTGGCACTAGTAATAATCCATACCTCGACTATTTCACAGGGACGCTAACGTAATAATCCATACATTGGCTATTTCACAGGGACGCTAACCTAAGGTGGCACTTGTAATAATCCATACCTCGGCTATTTTACGGAGACGTTAACGTAAGGTGGCACTAGTAATAAGCCATACCTCGACTATTTCACGGTGACGTTAACGTAAGATGGCACTAGTAATAATCCATACCTCGGGACGCTAACGTAATAATCCATACCTCGACTATTTCACAGGGGACGTTAATCGGCTATTTCAGGTGGCATTTCACAGGGACGCTAACGTAATAATCCATACCTTGGCTATTTCACAGGGTCGCTAACGCTATTTTACGGGGACGTTAACGTAAGGTGGCATTAGTGAAAATCCATACCTCGGCTATTTCACTGGGACGTTAACGTAAGGTGGCTAACGTAAGGTGGTAACCCATACCTTGGCATACCTAGTAATAAGCCATACCTTTTCACGGTGACGTTAACTAACATAATAAGCCATACCTTGACTATTTCACGGTGACGTTAACGTAAGGTGGCACTAGTAATAACCCATACCTTGGCTATCTCATGGGGACGTTAACGTAAGGTCGCACTAGTAATAAGCCATACCTCGACTATTTCACGGTGACGTTAACGTAAGATGGCACTAGTAATAAGCCATACCTTGGCTATTTCACGGGGACGTTAACGTAATAATCCATACCTTGGCTATTTCACGGGGACGTTAACATAATAAACCATTCCTTGACTATTTCACGGTGACGTTAACGTAAGGTGGCACTAGTAATAAGCCATACCTAGACTATTTTACGGGGAGACTAACGTAATAAGCCATACCTCGGCTATTTCACGGGGACGCTAACGTAAGGTGGCACTAGTAATAAGCCATACCTAGACTATTTTACGGGGAGACTAACGTAATAAGCCATACCTCGACTATTTCACGGTGACGCTAGCGTAAGGTGGCACTAGTAATAAGCCATGCCTTGGCTATTTCACGGGGACGCTAACGTAAGGTGGCACTAGTAATAAGCCATGCCTTGGCTATTTCACGGGGACGTTAACGTAAGGTGACATAGTAATTATCATGACGGCGGCTATTTCACAGGGGCGCTAACAAATGATCAGTAAAAAAATCTACAGTGAATTGGAGCCTACAATATAGCAGAGAGGTTATGTTATGACTGTTATGATATACAAAAGATAAAAGAAAGGTAGGACACACTGAATAAGAAACCGATCGTTGTATGGTACTTACCAGGGAGAAGAACGTTGAGCCGGTCAGATGGGGAGTGACAGGCCGGGAACAGTGACAGTTTAAAGTGAATAACCACACCTCACTCACTTTTACACCAGACTCTCACCGCACGAGCTAATTTAAGTAGCTCGGGGTTGTCCTGGCGGTAAGTAACTCGGGGTTGTCCTTGCAGTAAGTAAGTCAGGGTTGTCCTGGCGGTTAGTAACTCGGCTTTGTCTTGGCAGTAAGTAACTCACTGTTGTCCTGGCGGTAAGTAACTCGGCATTGTCCTGGAAGGGAAGTAACTCGGATTGTCCTGGGATTGTATTGGAAGGAAAGTAACGCGGGGTTGTCCTGGAAGGGAAGTTACTCGGCTTTTGCCTGGAAGAGAAGTAACGCGGCATTGTAACGCATGTGCACGCCTCAACCTGATGGAAGTGAGACTTTGAAATAGTGTTTGTAATAAACTTCAGCTATTTATAAATGTAGCTAGATTTTATAACTTGATAATAACATTTACTTGGGGTACAGAAGACTACGATAACTAACGGTATCGACGGAGCTAATATACAAAAACATTCAATCGACGGATATTAGTTTCGGATTTGGTATTTTATTAATATCATGCTCTACATTGTGCACGTTGATTTGAGTATAGATGTCGTTACGCTGCATGCTTAATTATGTTTTATAGTATGCTAAATAAGGTCAGTCTAGGTACAGATGTTCTCTCCACACATAGTCCTGTTGTCATCCTGCTACGCTGTAGTGACCTTCAGATAACATCGGCTATCTTCAAGGTCACATAAACATAAGCTGTACACGTGGATAAAACCGTGACGAAGTATTGTCCACTAGTGTGCGATGTACACAAATCCCACGCCGGTTTGGGATATCGAGGAACCACGGACCAGAACAGCTGGGACAAGGATCATATATGATACAACCTGAATGTACGTAGTATTAAGTACATAAAATTATACGTTATGAAAGACATGTAGCGGTTCCTGTTTATATAAGTCCCTGTTGTGTATTTTGTATCATTCTACAGTGTACGTTATTGATACCTGTAAGGATCGTGTTTATATAAGTTCCTGGTGTGTATTTTGTATCATTCTACAGTGTACGTTATTGATACCTGTAAGGATCGTGTTTATATAAATTCCTGGTGTGTATTTTGTATCATTCTACAGTGTACGTTATTGATACATGTAAGGATCGTGTTTATATAAGTTCCTGGTGTGTATTTTGTATCATTCTACAGTGTACGTTATTGATACCTGTAAGGATCGTGTTTATATAAGTTCCTGGTGTGTATTTTGTATCTGTTGTGTATTTTGTATAATTGATACATGTACGTGTTTATATAATTCCTGGTGTGTATTTTGTATCGTGTGTTTATATAAGTTCCTGGTGTGTATTTTGTATCATTCTACAGTGTACGTTATTGATACCTGTAAGGATCGTGTTTATATAAGTTCCTGGTGTGTATTTTGCAGCATTCTAAAGCTATACGTTATTGACCACCTGTTACAGTTCGTGTTTATATAAGTTGTTATGTGCTTTTTATCAGTTTTTAACCGTAGTGATGTTGTATGTTCCTTCATTAAAGTATCGTAGTCAGTGTTGGCCTTGATATGGTCACTCAGGTTTACACATTTGATGTAAGGTAATTGTGGCCTTAATATCGTCATTCAGGTTTACACTTTTGATGTAAGGTAATTGTGGCCTTGATATCGTCACTCAGGTTAACACATTTGATGTAAGGTAATTGTGGCCTTGATATCGTCTCTCAGGTTTACACATTTGATGTAAGGTAATTGTGGCCTTGATATCGTCACTCAGGTTAACACATTTGATGTAAGGTAATTGTGGCCTTGATATGGTCACTCAGGTTTACACATTTGATGTAAGGTAATTGTGGCCTTGATATGGTCACTCAGGTTTATACATTTGATGTAAGGTAATTGTGGCCTTGATATGGTCACTCAGGTTTACACATTTGATGTAAGGTAATTGTTACCTTGATATCGTCACTCAAGTTTACACATTTGATGTTACATAAGTTTCGAGAAAACATCATTTTCAGTTGAACTGTATTATACATTATTTTGTCACTTCATCACATCAATCTCAGTGAGTTTTTTTACACTTGCCCCCAAGTCCTATTATGGTGTGTGTTGTGATTGTTTTTGTTTTATTTCTTTTAATACACCCTTTTTAGATTAATAATGTGTTTAATCAAATTTTGTTAGCAATTGCTGTTTGTTCAAAAACATATGTTTTTCTGGTGGATGTTATTTTCCTAATTCAGTGAAATAAAATGGAGCAAGGCGCCCTCTCTGAACGAGAAAAACACGCGCCACGTGAACAAACCGATGGGTCCAATGCTGATGATGTCACTGACACCAATTCACGTTGTTTGCCCGGAAACATTCCGGATATATATAGCAACGGCACAAGAAATGCTTCTCTCGACGACTGTCAGGAGAAGGACGAATTATCTGCCCCTGATGGAGGGTGGGGATGGGTTATAGTCTTTGGCAGTCTGTTGATACATATCATTTTGTGTAAGTACTATAGTACAAAGTAAAAATCACATTTTAATTTTGCATTCAATACAGGTTCAGACGCGATTCAGTATTTGTGTTTAAAGTATACTATGTTAAGTGGTGTGAGATATTGATAAATACAACTTCTGCTTCCCGTTTAGTTTTAATAGTAATAGTAAACATCTTACCAGTTTAATCTTGTAAATTTAGAAAATGGATTTCTTCTTACTTTTTAAAGTTGGAATAGAGAAGTCGTCGGGAATATTTTTCTTAAAATTTGATGAAACATTCCAACAGTCAGCCATCGTCACCGCCTGGGTCACCACAGTTCCTGGTGGTCTGCGCTCAATTCTAGGTAAGTTTGATTGATGAATTGTTTCTAGCTCGGATGACCACAACCCCCTGTGGCCTGTTTTCACTTTTGGTTAAGAATACATGAAAAAATTTTAAATCAATACGTTAAATTTAATTCTAGGAAAAAATCATTACCAGTAACAGTATAGTGATGTACTTGAATCGCATATTTGTACACCTCGAATCGAAAGCAATCGGCGTTTTCTAGGCGTATTTCTGAACTTTTTGCAGGGCCTGTTTGTAGTATGCTCACGAACAAATTTTCATTCCGACCCGTCGTCTTGGCAGGAGCTATCCTTATGAGTGCTGGTATGGTGTTAACGGGATTGGCTAGCAATCTGACAGTAGTCTTCTTCACTTTTGCTATAATTGAAGGTAATCACATTGAAATATTGATTACATCAAATATTCCTCAGTGTCTGTTCACTTTTCTATTTCAGACTTTATACCCTAACCTCGAATCTTGCTAAATGGTCTGGTATGAAATTTGAGACAATAAAATTTGCAATATAAAAGAAGCTAACCTCAGGTCGATTCCATCTGAGTGATACTATGTGACTTATTCATTGCGGAATGCTTCCTCCTCTTTTGGTTTAGGGATTGTTCCGTCCTTAAAGAATAACCAGCCCCTCTTTCAAAGAAAGTGATCCCGCTCGTTTTATTTGCACCATTCCTCGACTCATTGTTAAAGATGACAATGCAAATTAAAAGACTGCAATGTTGAAACAACAAAAAAGGTCAACGTATCGCTCGGAAACTTGTACCGGTATACCAGGGTACAAAATGCCTGCAACCTGTCGCACCTGTTATCATTATTCCAATGACGGAAAAGCGGATCATCTTTAAATGCACATATATTTACGTTACAATTTCCACACATTGTGCCTTGTGTTTTGAAGACAGAACAGAGCATATAAATATGTAAAACAATGGCTGCTTCCGTTATCCTTCAATTCACTGATCGTATTTCCTAGTCAAACATTTACACGACCTTGATTGGGTGAATGCCTAACAGCATTTTAAGCACTTCAGTGATATAGTAAAACTGGTTGTGTCCACAGTTTGTATGCACGTGTCTCCGGATTTAAATTATGGGCTTTAGGTAGCTTGTCTTGTTTTCAGTTTTTTTATATTTGTTGTATCATATAATTTTGAATAGCTGAGATGTTCTAATTAACTTCAATGTCCTATGGTGTGTGCACATTTTTAAGGCCACTCGTAGGTATTATAAGGTGAGGTTTTCTTCGTATGGTCGATGTTGAAATTAATGCTTTGACAGGTTGCTAGCCTTTATACCTGGAATATCCGAACTCGATTCCAAGCAAAGCTAGTACTAAACTATCGACTATTTCCTTCGATACGCTGACCATAAATGATCGCCATCATTTGGGGCATCTCCGAAGCATTTAGGAATTTTTGATTTTTCAAAATGTGTTATTTCTAACTTGCCTCATCGGCTGGTCATTTAGATGTCCATTTTCCCAACAAAGGTCTCTTATGTGCTGTTCATTCGTCTGTCTTCTAGTCCCAGGGGCGTGTATGATATATCAATCATTTTTGTGTCTTTTAGTCCCAGGGACGTGTATGATATATCATTCTAGTGTCTTCTAGTCCCAGGGACGTGTATGATATATCATTCTAGTGTCTTCTAGTCCCAGGGACGTGTATGATATATCATTATTGTGTCTTCTAGTCCCAGGGACATGTATGATATATCATTATTGTGTCTTGTCCCTGGGATATGTATGATATATCATTCTGATATATTCTAGTCCCAGGGACGTGTATGATATATCAATCTGATGTCTTGTAGTCCCAGAGACATGTATGATATATCATTATTGTGTCTTCTAGTCCCAGGGACGTGTGTGATATATCATTCTAGTGTCTTCTAGTCCCAGGGACGTGTATGATATATCATTTATTGTGTCTTCTAGTCCCAGGGACGTGTATGATATATCATTCTGATGTCTTCTAGTCCCAGGGACGTGTATGATATATCATTATTGTGTCTTCTAGTCCCAGGGACGTGTATGATATATCATTATTGTGTCTTCTAGTCCCAGGGACGTGTATGATATATCATTTTTGTGTCTTCTAGTCCCAGGGACGTGTGTGATATATCATTTTTGCGTCTTCTAGTCCCAGGGATATGTATGATATATCATTCTGATGTCTTCTAGTCCCAGGGACGTGTATGATATATCATTCTAGTGTCTTCTAGTCCCAGGGACGTGTATGATATATCATTATTGTGTCTTCTAGTCCCAGGGACATGTATGATATATCATTATTGTGTCTTGTCCCTGGGATATGTATGATATATCATTCTGATATATTCTAGTCCCAGGGACGTGTATGATATATCAATCTGATGTCTTGTAGTCCCAGGGACATGTATGATATATCATTATTGTGTCTTCTAGTCCCAGGGACGTGTATGATATATCATTCTGATGTCTTCTAGTCCCAGGGACGTGTGTGATATATCATTCTTGTGTCTTCTAGTCCCAGGGACGTGTATGATATATCATTCTAGTGTCATCTAGTCCAAGGGACATGTATGATATATCATTTTTGTGTCTTCTAGTCCAAGGGACATGTGTGATATATCATTTTTGCGTCTTCTAGTCCCAGGGATGTGTATGATATATCATTATTGTGTCTTCTAGTCCCAGGGACGTGTGTGATATATCATTCTAGTGTCTTCTAGTCCCAGGGACGTGTATGATATATCATTTATTGTGTCTTCTAGTCCCAGGGACGTGTATGATATATCATTCTGATGTCTTCTAGTCCCAGGGACGTGTATGATATATCATTATTGTGTCTTCTAGTCCCAGGGACGTGTATGATATATCATTTTTGTGTCTTCTAGTCCCAGGGACGTGTGTGATATATCATTTTTGCGTCTTCTAGTCCCAGGGATATGTATGATATATCATTCTGATGTCTTCTAGTCCCAGGGACGTGTGTGATATATTATTTTTGTGTCTTCTAGTCCCAGGGACGTGTATGATGTATCATTATTGTGTCTTCTAGTCCCAGGGACGTGTATGATATATCAATCTGATGTCTTCTAGTCCCAGTGACATGTATATCATTATTGTATCTTCTAGTCCCAGGGACGTGTATGATATATCAATCTGATGTCTTCTAGTCCCAGGGACGTGTGTGATATATCATTTTTGCGTCTTCTAGTCCCAGTGACATGTATATCATTATTGTATCTTCTAGTCCCAGGGACGTGTATGATATATCAATCTGATGTCTTCTAGTCCCAGGGACGTGTGTGATATATCATTATTGTGTCTTCTAGTCCCAGGGACGTGTGTGATATATCATTCTAGTGTCTTCTAGTCCCAGGGACGTGTATGATATATCATTTATTGTGTCTTCTAGTCCCAGGGACGTGTATGATATATCATTCTGATGTCTTCTAGTCCCAGGGACGTGTATGATATATCAATCTGATGTATTCTAGTCCCAGGGACGTGTGTGATATATCATTTTTGCGTCTTCTAGTCCCAGGGACGTGTGTGATATATCATTATTGTGTCTTCTAGTCTCAGGGACATGTATGATATATCATTGTTGTGTCTTCTAGTCCCAGGGACGTGTATGATATATCAATCTGATGTCTTATAGTCCCAGGGACATGTGTGATATATCATTTTTGTGTCTAGTCCCAGGGACATGTATGATATATTATTATTGTGTCTTCTAGTCCCAGGGACGTGTGTGATATATCATTATTGTGTCTTCTAGTCCCAGGGACGTGTATGATATATCAATCTGATGTCTTATAGTCCCAGGGACATGTGTGATATATCATTTTTGTGTCTAGTCCCAGGGACATGTATGATATATCATTATTGTGTCTTCTAGTCCCAGGGACATGTATGATATATCAGTATTGTGTCTTCTAGTCCCAGGGACGTGTATGATATATCATTATTGTGTCTTCTAGTCCCAAGGACATGTATGATATATCATTATTGTGTCTTCTTGTCCCTGGGACATGTATGATATATCAGTATTGTGTCTTCTAGTCCCAGGGACGTGTATGATATATCATTATTGTGTCTTCTAGTCCCAGGGACGCGTATGATATATCAATCATTCTTATGTCTTCTAGGTTTAGGAATGTGCTTAGTGTACTCCCCATCTGTGGTCATCGTGGGCAAATATTTCAGCAGCAAGCGAGGACTTGCAGTAGGCGTTGCAACCTCCAGCTTCGGATCTTTCCTTTTTCCAACATTTATAGAGTTTGTGTTTGAGTATTACGGATTTCTTGGTGCGTTTTTAATGTTATCTGGTGTAACACTCAACATTATGGTGTGTGCAAGCTTATTCACACCGCCGCCTGAAAGGAGGGCTAGAAGAAGGTAGGTCATTCAATAACATTAATATATTAACAAAACATGTGTTTCCTTAGATAGTGTAAATTTGTGATTTCCTCTTTATTTAAATATGAATACTTAGCTGTCTATTCCCTTACGTGTGTGTATTTTAAGTTTTCGGTTTTTCGTTTTGTCATTTTATCATCAGATTTATGCATTTACTTCAGTGTTGTATCTAAGATGTGTTTTGGTATTGTATTTTCTCATTAGAATTCGCTGGTCTTGTACTGTCTTTTGATTCACTCCCTGTTCAGTCTTTTTTTTTTTTTTTTTTTTTTGTGGTTGGTTCTCAGGATTCCTGTTATGTCTCTCTATGTGTTTTCCTCTCCTGATTCTTGTCTTAATTTGCTACAGAATCTATCTATATTAATATTCATTAAGCGTCCTTCTCATGTTTATTCTGTGTTTCGTTCGTAATATTGTTTATTGCTCTGCGCCCTGCTTGCAATAGCTTTCAAAGAGTATGCAGTTGGTATCTAATTACACACATTTCATTTTAGATAGTCAATGAGCCATTGCATTAAACACAAAATCATAAACCTTAGTTCTACCTTAGACGTTGGTTGATGTGAGAACCGTTTTTATCATTAACGTATCGAAGTTGTTAGTTTTTAAAATGTCGATTGATTGTGCGAGACTTGAACATATTATGCATTTTTGTTTCTTCATCAGACTGAAAACAACTGAAGATTGCGAGGAGGCTTCTGAGTACTTTCTACAACACGAGAACCATAGTAAAGACGTTGAAAAATATATAAGTACTGAACACTTACAAGACAAATCAAACCAAACTAGATGTTTCAGTGCGATATCTTGTAAAAAATCTTGCTTTAAAAAATCTAAAAGTGAATTATTGACGATGATGAAAGATTGGAGGTTTGTTACATTTTGTGTGGCGATGTTCTTATTCTCTATAGCAGCTAATTCCGCGTACGCTTTTATACCTCTATATGCAAAGCAGATCGCTATCACAGACTCTCAGTCGACCTACGTCATCGCCATGACCATTCTAGCCGACGGACTGGGTAAAATATGTTTGGGTGCCGCTTTAGATGTTGGACGAGTGAAACCCTACAGGGTAGTGGCGTACAACTTGACACTGTTGTTAGTAGGTGTGACCTATCTTTTGCTCCCCTCAACCTCTACTTTTATACAACTTTGTATAGTGTCTTCTTTATTCGGTCTCCTATTCGGAGGAATCATGTCACAGAAGTCGGTCGTGACGGCTGATATCCTTGGTGTGAAGAAGCTTACTGACGGCTTTGGAATATTGATGTTGTTTCAAGGAGCTGGGTCCTTTGTTGGTCCGCCTATTTCAGGTTTGTCACAATTCGAATAACCTTGTAGTTGTTACTGCATTGTGTTTATTTTGTAACTTAATTGATGAAATAACTGAGTGTTGAAGAATCCATACTGGGTATTTACAGGATATTCCATGTGTTGTTGTCAGGAATAACAAAGTTTCAACGTCACAAGGTGAAATATATATATATCAACAAAGAAAAGTTAAACCTTTTGTGGTTAAATAATGCCAGTGAAATATAGGATTTATCGACTTGATAAAAATATGGCAGTGGTGATCTTTGTCGTCACTCGTGATGATAAATCCTTCGTAATTTTGACCAATCAGAGCTTTCGTTTCTTGACACTTCTTTGTTCGCCGATTTTTCTGTTCGGATGTAAATGAAACCAAGATTGATTTAGTTTGCTTTCTATCAAATCGTTCACGTGTACTTTTCTGATTTTCTCTGATTTGTTTTATAAAGCAGTTTTGTAAGCGACTGTTACCAGAAATCAGAAAACGATGGGGAAGAATAACGCCTAAAGTGGACTGTTTAAAATGGCGTCATGTTGTAGTCAAACGTACCGTCAAATTATATGCTGTCAAAGAACGCGCTAATATTTTTCGAGGTTTTTTTTAACACCATTTTATTTCATGCATGGATCGTTTTTTTTTTTTTTTTTCGTTACGTTTCACTTTAAGAATGTGATAAAAAGAAAATGATTGACATTTAACATCATATACCTTTCACATACTCAACAGAATATATCTAATTGTTTCACTTGTGCTTCGCACTCGAGCAAATATTTATATTCGGTCGTATTTATGTCTTATATATGATACCAAATGGGAAACAATATATTAAATATCTTACATTTACCACTTTTTTCTCATCTTTATTTAATGTCAATTTTAATTTGGCATTCTGTGTATAAGCTTATTATGTTGTCTTTTTTCCACTGGATAACATTGTTCCAAACCAAAGATCCAAATGCTTTAGCGTTGTTACAGTAAATACAACATTTGTAACAATTTGGTATATTTACCGAGATCAATAAATAAATAAACGTTATCTCTCCCTTAACACTAAATATTTCTACCGGGTTTGCTGTTCCCTATACTCCATAGATCATAATGCACTTTTAGAGAAATTCATTTCTTAATGCAAAAACTGTGTTTTCTTTGATTAAAATTCCGGGAGTTATGAAAATTGATTTCCATTCAGTGAATAAGAATCAAAGACTAGACAGGCTGTTTTACATCGGCCGCTTATCTCGATCTTTCCATACAAAGAAACCAACATGGAGAGCTTTTCAACAAGCTAACTGGTAATCGTGACGACTTCAATTTCCCTAGTTTGCGTTTCCAAGCTATGGTGTTACATGTCGCAGTTGAATCCATAACCTGTTCCCATTATCACCGTGCAAGAGGTCCTCAACTAACGGACAAACTCGTAACACAAGGATGATGCAAAATTATGAGGAAGTCTTAAGGTCATCAATAGCAATCTCATTGAGAAATATTAAATTTATTCGTATGATATGCAGCTGGGCGTATTTGAGTTTATCTCGTGTTATAAACCTTGTTCTCATTGGGAACGTCATATTACTTATAGGATCGATCAGGATTTACATGGCGGATGTCATGATTATGTTGAACTATAGGTCTTCATCATGCCATTATTTAATCTTGTACGTTTGTTTTGGCAGGTTTACTGAAGGATACGACAGGAAACAATGACGACGGATTTTATTTTGGAGGAATAACAACAATAGTTGGATCTCTTACATTTGCAGTGGCAAATATTGTGCATTATCTGAAAACAAAACAATAAAACTGCTAGTGTTATTGGCCATATGCTGATGATAAGATTTTGTTCCAAAACTTCAATTTAAGGATAATATGAAACATCTTAAGGGCAAAGTGAGCTTATGCCGTAGTGCGGCGTCCGTCGTCCGTCCGTCGTCCGGCATCAACATATTCCTTTAAACAACTTCTCAATAACCAATGGACCAAATATTTTGATATTTGACTCATATGACCTTTACATATGTTCAATACCACAGGGTTGATATTTGTTAAAATATTTAAAGAGCTTTTTCGTATGAATTCAAAGGTCTAGGGACATGATATTTGGTTGGTATGTTCCTAGGAATAACTAGGACAAAGTTTGAGAAAATATATATTCAAGGTCACAGGGATTGAATTTGTTAAACCATTTAAGCGACTTCTCATAAACGAAAATGCCTATAGGCTTGATATTTGACTGGTATGTTCCTAGGACAAAGCCTGATAAACTGTATGAAAAGAAATGACCTTCATCTATTTTCAAGGTCAGGGTGGTCAAATTCGTTAATATCTTTAAACGACTTTTTCTCGTGAACTGAGCATAAGGTATGTTCCGATGGGGAAACCCGACTACATTTTCAAAAGGAAATGATATATTATAAAGGTCACAGGAGTCTAATTTGTTTAAACTTGTATACGGTTTATTCTGAAAGGACGTAGACGTATGTTGTTTGGGTGACATGTTCCCAAGATGAAGCTCGATATTATTTTTAGGAAAGCATGGTAGTGGGCTGATACGTTTCCTTGTTCAAAGCCACAGGGCTAAAGATGTAAAAATATTCAAACAACTTCTGGCTAACCAAAAGCCACAGAGGCATGGTGTTTCGGTGATATGTTTCTAGTATGAAGCCCGATAAAGTGTTTGCGAAAAGAAATGACCTTGACCCTTACTCGATGTCCCAGAGGTCGAATTTGTTAAATCCTTTTAACAATTTCTTTTGTAACCAAAAGGCGAAGAAGCATGAAGTTTGGCTGATAGGTTCCTGAGATGATGACTAACACTTGCGTTAAGAAAAAGACCTTGACCCAAATTGAAGGTCACAGGAATGAAATGTTTTGAAGTCGTAGAAGATCTCTTCCGGCTAACCAAAAATGCGAGAAGGATGACATTTGGTGGAAAGATTTCTCTTGGTCAAAGCCTAACGAGTTTCGAAAATAAAAAGTTCGGACATTTAACTAAAATCCAGGATGTGACTGTTACTGTTTGGAGGTAAGTATCAGAAGCTTCTTTTTTTTTTGGTGGGGAAGGGGGGGGGGTTGCGATTGGGTTACGTTAAAAAATATGAAAGATAAGGATCGTGTTAGTTTTTTATTAGAAAATGTAGTAACACAATACAAGCGCTAGTTTGAATGTTACGTAATACAAGTGTTATCCACTCATCCACCCTCATGATAAAACACACAGAAAACCTCACAGAATGATTATACAAAATCGGATGCCAGCACTGAGACGCACAATATATCGGAGAAACAGGCAGGAGATCCGGGGTCCGACTGAATGAACACCAAAAAGACGCGGATTCCCAAGAGGGCAAAAAATTCACTAGATCAGAGCGAAAACATCACTTCAATAAATCTGCACTTACAGATCATTTCACACAGCAGAATCATAAGATTGACTGGGAAAATTCCAAAATAATCACCAGGGAAAACAACCATTTCGGACAGTTTGTTAAGGAAGCTATCTGGAAACGCCGCAGTGGGCCAGTAAATAATAGGGACGAGGGGGTGGGGATGGGGGAGAGGTGGGTGCACAGACTGTCGCACATCCATGACGAAGTGTTATACAAAGCGTAGCCGAATTGACTACAGCGCATGGTTACCATCTGGTGGTTATTTGTATATATCATGCTTACCGTCTCGTCACACTATTTTTCACCTTAGTATACATACGATTACAACCAAAAAAGGTTGGTCGATTCTGTACATTTTGTCTATATTATGCTTACCGTCTCGTCACACTATTTTTCACTTTAGTATACATACGATTACAACCAAAAAAGGTTGGTCGATTCTGTACAATCTCGTCCACTCCGTACGTCAGTGCTACTACGATCCACTCTGGTTATTTGTCTGATGATGATGATCGTGTTGTCATCGAAACGTCACAATCAAATCTTCTCCTAGTTGTGTAATAAGACCTTCAATTCTATAATACAACAAGCGTTAGGTTGTATGTAGTTTTTAAAAAAAGTCTGGAATGAACAAAATACAAGCGTTAGTTTTCAGAAAGTAGAATAAAGATACACAATACAAGCTTCAATTTTCTATGTTATATTTTACTGTTTTATTGCAAGCCTTGGATATATATATATATATATATATATATTAGAATAACTTAAAACAGCAAGTCGAATTAACCATAAGTGCTTTCATTCCTGAATCTTATATTTTTATTATATTTCACCTGACTGAGAATTCAACTTTTATATTTTAATATATATATATATTGATATATAAAAAATATAGTTAATGACGGTACGCAAGTGATAATATAAAGAAAATTGTTTAAAAAGACACTGAGAAGCAGCTAAGCTGTGAAAACGTTATGCAAAATGCTAACTTAACTTTTTCTTGCGTGTTTTTAAAACAATTTTCTTTATATTGATATATATATATATATACAAATTGTGACGATTCGGAATACATTAATTTCATTGTCCATGTCGCACCATGTCTATTTCACATATCAAATAGCTACATTTCGTAGTAGATTTTATACCCATGGGTATCAGTAGCTGACAAAACATTATCTTGATTTATGCGATGGCGTCATGATCTCATTGAAAATGCTATATACTATATCTATATATCGTGTGCTCATTTAAACACATCTGGTGATTTCGTTGTTTTAAATTCAGGTTGGTAGTTTGTTTGTTGGTCCCGTTGTGGTATAACTTGTTCTCATTTTAAAAAAGGCATTACTTACTTGGATTCTTCCGCAAGAAAACATGATATCGTTATACTTGATAGATCCCACTTTTATATGCGGAATGTCGTCGATGGAGTAGAAGACGCTCACTTTTCCGGAACGTCTTATCTTAATATCCTTCTTTCATAAATGAATGTGCAAATAAGCATTTTGTCAACATGATGGTACTTTCTTGTTTTACCTACAGAGTTTATTTGTTGCTTTCGTTTGACATCCCAGTGTATATCAATCAAATTCAGTACATTGACCCGTATCGCTATCACGCTATCCTAAAATGTCATTTGTTGTCGCATAATTCTATCAGCCTTAGGAAACGAATCGCATATTAAACGAGGAGACATTGCAATTAAAGTTCAAATATTTTAAAAGCAATACTTGTGACCACTTTAAAGATTATTTCATTTACACGTGCAATCAACCGACAATTAAGGTTGTGTTTTTGAAATTGTTTCAGAAAACGACCTTTCCATACTTAAGCTACAAATAGTCTTTTATCTAACAGCCTTCATTCTATATTACATAATATGATATTTCATGCAGTGGTAATATTTCTGAAAGAACAATGGTTTCTCTAAAGTTTCATTGATTTGTTTCAAAATAAAGAGTACACGTTATCACCTTGACGGCACAAATAAACACTCTATTTCAGATGATAACGAAACCATACGCTAAATGTCAGCAAAAACAGATAACAGAATGGCTTATGGCGAATTCAAAATAACAGAATGGCTTATGGCGAATTCAAAATAACAGAATGGCTAATGGCGAATTCAAAATAACAGAATGGCTGATGGCTACAAGAAAATAACAGAATGGCTGATGGCGAATTCAAAATAACAGAATGGCTGATGGCGAATTCAAAATAACAGAATGGCTTATGGAGAATTCAAAATAACCGAATGGCTGATGGCGACAAGAAAATAACAGAATGGCTGATGGCGAATTCAAAATAACAGAATGGCTGATGGCGAATTCAAAATAACAGAATGGCTTATGGAGAATTCAAAATAACCGAATGGCTGATGGCGACAAGAAAATAACAGAATGGCTGATGGCGAATTCAAAATAACAGAATGGCTGATGGCGAATTCAAAATAACAGAATGGCTGATGGCTACAAGAAAATAACAGAATGGCTGATGGCTACAAGAAAATAACAGAATTGCTGATGGCGACGAGAAAATAACAGAATGGCTGATGGCGACAAGAAAATAACAGAATGGCTGATGGCGAATTCAAAATAACAGAATGGCTGATGGCTACAAGAAAATAACAGAATTGCTGATGGCGACGAGAAAATAACAGAATGGCTGATGGCTAAAAGAAAATAACAGAATGGCTGATGGCTACAAGAAAATAACAGAATGGCTGATGGCTACAAGAAAATAACAGAATGGCTGATGGTGAATTCAAAATAACCGAATGGCTTATGGAGAATTCAAAATAACCGAATCGCTGATGGCGACAAGAAAATAACAGAATGGCTGATGGCGAATTCAAAATAACGGAATGGCTGGTGGCGAATTCAAAATAACAGAATGGCTGATGGCGAATTCAAAATAACAGAATGGCTGATGGCTACAAGAAAATAACAGAATTGCTGATGGCGACGAGAAAATAACAGAATGGCTGATGGCTACAAGAAAATAACAGAATGGCTGATGGCGAATACAAAATAACAGAATGGCTGATGGCTACAAGAAAATAACAGAATTGCTGATGGCGACGACAAAATAACAAAATGGCTGATGGCTACAAGAAAATAACAGAATGGCTGATGGCGAATACACAATAACAGAATGGCTGATGGCTACAAGAAAATAACAGAATGGCTGATGGCTACAAGAAAATAACAGAATGGCTGATGGCTACAAGAAAATAACAGAATGACTGATGGCTACAAGAAAATAACAGAATGGCTGATGGCTACAAGAAAATAACAGAATGGCTGATGGCTACAAGAAAATAACAGAATGGCTGTTGGCTACAAGAAAATAACAGAATGGCTGATGGCTACAAGAAAATAACAGAATGGCTGATGGTGAATTCAAAATA